GTAGTCAAGTCATAAAGAAGCAATCTCTCCTCAGAGAAATGAGTCTAACAAAATCCACAAAAGACATAAAATTGCCTCCCCATTTAGATGGTCCACAATGCATTTCTAGAAACTTCATTCCAGCCCCAATTTAGTTTAGTTCATTTGTATCTGCTTCCCATTTTATGCAATACTCTTGTATAAAGATGTGGAAATAAATTCAGGAAATTTCACCTGCAGCAAATGAATTTATTAAGTAATTTTATTGTGTAACGACAGATATTTTATTATCCTGATTGGAGATTTGATTCATATTGCTGGCATGAGACACTGGCTTTTTGTCACGTGGGTGAGGGGGGTCTGTTTTGTTTTCTTCTTTTTTATTCCTAGTATGGAGAGATGTTCACCAAAATTATGGTTTTCTTCTTCCAGGTACATGGTAAGATTGAAATATTCTGATCCTTCTGCATTTAGATGTGGCCCTGTGGTTTGACAAATGAGGTATTAGCAAAAGCAGTATGTATTATTTATAGGCAGAGGCTTTAAGCGCAAGTGTACAATTTACCAAATCCCCTTCCCCATGCCACGGAGGCTGGCCACCCCCAGATGGAGTTTCCCTCAGCCTGTCTATCACTCTTTGCAAAGGTGATGTAGTGTCCAACCCACAGTAGACATGCAGCATGAATGAGAAGTAATCTTTCATTACTGTAAGTTCCAGAGATTTTTTTTTTTTTCACTGCAGTGTAACTGAGCCTCTCCTGACTAATATGCATAGGAAAGTAATTCATCTTTCCTTTTCTTTGGGCAGACAACGTGAAAATTCTTCTCCTAGAGTGAACAGTAGACTTCCACATACAATTAAATAAAATAATCAAGATAAATAAATAAATAATCAGATAATGAAATTATCTAATCTGAAATTTGTCCCTTGTTTCCTTATTCAATTTATACATTCTCTGTGGGTCAAAAAAGTTATTTAGAAAGCTCTGAAATGGGGGGAAACAACTGAATGCTAAAAGGGAATCTCAAAGTCATTGCTGGACCTCCACAACAATTTCCAATAGGGCCTTTGCTCACTCGCAGATACACGATGAAGGGGGTTCCGTAGGGCTTGATTAGAAAAGACTGTATTAGCAATTGTATGAGAGAACAGAGAAGCATTTCTTCCTCCATTGTGTTCATTTCTATCATTGTAGGGTGGTGAAAGGGAAAAAACATTTGGTTAATCAACTTGTGTTTAAGGAACATGAGCTAAGGCAAGTCATGTCTCTTTTCCAGACTTTACCTTCTTCGTCTGGAAACTAAGAGTATTAGACAAGATCAGGATGCCATCCAGTTCTACTAAGCGAGAATTCTGAGATCTTTGGGTGATATCGGTTTCGGGAGTCAGTGCTACAGTTAAAAGACTCTCTCTGTGTTCCTAGCATTAGCACTATTTTGTGAAACAGCTTTAATTTTTTCATATGGATCGCAAGTTAAAACAACTGCTTCTTAGCCAAGATAGATAGTGCCTCTTTTCTTCAACCTCATTTTTTAAAATGAGGGAATCTGCTAGAAAAGTGAGCCATATAGATCAGGGGTCATGTAAAATGCTTTGTCATTTTCTAACCAAGAGGAAAATTTTGTTCTTTTATCGGAGAACTATTCTTTTCAGGTCGCATTATCAGATCACCTAAGAAAATTTCTTGTGAATTTTCAGGAAACTTTTATGAGAAAATATTGATTGTGTGACAAGTGCTATCGGGTGAAATCATTACTATCTGTTCTTTCTCCTTAGTGTGGCGTGACTGATTGTCGGAAATAATACTATTACTTCCATTTAGATAATAATTTACAATTGACAGAAGTTTCACATGAGTTATTACCTTGACTCTTTCCAACAAATCATGCTGCTGGTTACTCCCCCATTTCATGGGGGCGAGGGGGAGCCAAGGTTTGGATGTGCCCACGCCACGTGGCTAGTGAGCAGCAGGGTTTGGCTATAACCCAAGAGCCACAGTCTCCTATAAAATTAAGAAAACTGTCTGCAACTCTACCAGGAAATAGAAAGTGTCAAAACCAGGCCACAGGGCACTGCTTCACAGAAAAATGTGGGTACTTTATGCAGACATCACTGCTGTCAGCTCGTCCCTGTTTTCTCTCTCCTCTGGGCACCCATAAAGGCCATAGTCCTCTCCTCAAAGTTAGGTGTGGTCATCAGACTTACTTGAGCCAGAGCATTTACCTAGAGGTGAGAAAACCCCCAGAGTTATTGCTCCCCTCGACCAGAAGTATTACTTAGGGTAGATCCATCAGTTTGGGTACTGCTGTCATGACCACGATAAGCAGAGCTCTTTACCAATATGCAACTGATTTATGCAAGCAAGTGGGTTAAGCCACTGGGATCTGGGGGCTGCTTATTACTGCAGCTTAATTTAGTCTATCCTGACTGGTACAGTTTCCCAATTCAAATGTAAGTCTTTTGTAAAAGAGAATTATCTTTGTGGGGTGGACTCCTATAAAACTGAGTTATATCCACATACCTTTTAAAGAGAAAATATTCTCCTGGATCCCTCATGTTTTTTATTTAAATTAATTTTACTATCTTCTTAAGTTTGTACAAGCATAAAACTATTTGCATAAAAATATTTAAACTGTGAAACCAAATTTCAAAGTTAATGAAAAAGAAAAACCCCACAAAACCAAAGATTTATAGATGAAAAGTAATAAAATGTGCTAGATGACATTGTTTTAGGGAAACTAAATTCCCACTCAAATGTCAGTATGGTTCTGAATTCAATAAAGTAGGTTCTTTGGGGTGTGGCATGTCTATAAAATTATGTCCTGGGTAATGTCTCAATTCTACCACTTTTCTCTTTTAGAACCACCAGAAGGCAGTCCTTAATTCATATGGTATAGGTAAAGCTTAAAGGGAGTCATTTTACTATCAAATTCACCTCCGTCCCTTTCTAAATAGCCTATGACAGTCGAGAATCACTGTTGACACCAATAGACAGGAACTAAAATTGTAGCTTGGAAATTCTGTGTCCGTATTCAGCGTTAATTGCCAAGATAAGTCTCACTATGCTTCATTTTAAGATTATCATTGCAATGAAAGTCCTAAGCTTTTAAATTCCAAAATTTAAAAGCTTAGGATTTTCATTGCAATAAGCTTTTAAATATCAAAATCTAGGAATCTCCCACTTTCAAAATATATTTTATATGTCACGGAACTATACACTTAAAAATGGCTGCAATGGCACATGTTGTGTTTGTTTTACCACAATTAAATTTTTTTTTGCCACACAGCATAGCACAGGCTTCAGAGCAAGATATTCTGCCTGTCAAATCCTCACTCCCACTATTTTGATGCTTGGAGACCTTGAATGGAGTTGCTTAACCTCTCTGAACCTCAGTTATCTCATCTGCAAGGTAGGACTGTACATTCTTAAGCTGTTTTGAGGGGGCGAAGAGGATCGAGTGAATGGGAGTCTGGCACAGTGCCTGCATATGAAGAACAGCTTCGTGTTTTCCTCCTGGGCCGTTGCTGGCCTGCATTTCACAGCTTCCCTAGCAGCTAGGTATGGCGGCTATACGGCTGAGTTCTGGCTGACAAAACGTAGGTGGAATTGATGGAAAACATAGTTCATAGAAACCTCCCACACAACCTTCTACTCTTCTGCTGAATCAGAGAATCCAAGATAAGAGACGATGCTCGAGGGTAGGGCTTAGCACACTTTTTCTGTAAAGATCCTGAGAGTCAATATTTTAGGGTTCAGGGGCCACACAGTCTCCGTTGCAAGTATGCCACTCTGCCACGTAGTGTGAGATCACCTACAGAGCCCAGGTGATACATAACGAAGGAATAGGGCTGTGTTTTAATAAAATGTTATTTACAAAACAAACAAACTTACAAGAACAGTAGGTCAAATTTGGCCCACGAGCCATAGTTTGCTGACCTCTGCTCTGAGCTGTGTCAGAATCACAAAGTAGAAAGAATCTGGGTCACTAAATGGCCATATGAGAAAACAGACTTTATACATGCAAGAAATAAACTTCTATTATGTTTAGTCATTGAGATTTTAGGGTTGTTTTGGCCTTAGCCTACTGTGATATCGATGGAGGTCATGGAGAGGACGTGACTAAAGATGAGCTTGACCCAGGTAATCCCAGGCTCTTCACTCCCTCCCCTCTCCCTGAAATGTACATTTTGCCCTCTGTTCCCACATGCTCTGTCATAGAGCCTTCCCAATACATATTAGTGAAATAAATAAAACACCATCAGTAAATAATCATGTGTATAGAGAAGGTAATGAATGCAACATCTATGACATTCTAAGCTGTCACTATCCCCTCTCTCCACCCAACTACCCTATTCCTAGACATATATCTGAGTTGTTACGTGCCCCATCCCAAATGATCAGAAACACACATGAGGGAGACAGTTTGCTTGGGTAAGGTGAATAGAGCCTAGTTAATTGGTTCATTTTATATGAACAGGTTGCTCCCTCTTACCATCAGTCTCTGGAACATATTGCAAAGTCAGCTTTGGGTTGTTGCTGCTTAGCTACTATGGGACAGTTCTCTACAGCCTGTCACCCGTAAACCTGCCAACACCACCACTGCAGTTTAGTATTTTTTACCCCGAATTTATAGTCAGGGAGCCTGAGATCCAAACGGGTTAAAGAATTTTTCCAAAATCGTAAGCTGGCAACACCAGAAATCTAGGCCTGCTTGGGTTGGCTTCTGACGCCTCTGGAATCTTTCCCACCTTCCTTACTTGAAATGTATTTGTTGGGGAACAATTAACCTCAGGATGAGTAATTTGTCACCATTCTGTGTGAGTTTCAAATTTTCCCATTACAAGAGGAAAATGAGAAAAATATGTCCTAGATAACACAGAGAAAAATGCTTCATTGTCTTAATTGCCTTTCTATTTCAATCAAGAAAGGCATTTAATTATTTCTGAACTACATTCAAAACTCTCTCTCAAGAATATTATTCTCCCCAGGTGAGTTAACCAAATCTGTGCAAAACGCTTCTCAAGTCTGAATATTAATATCCAACGTTTATTGAGCACTTTTTATATGCCAATGACTAAATTCTTTCCATTTATGATCTCATTTATTCCTCACAGCAAGTCTATGAAGTGGAAACTGTCATTATTCTCCTCTAACGAATGAGAAAACTGAGGCACAGAGAGGTGAGTGAGTTTGTCTAGGTTCCAAGGGCAGTAAGTGGTGAAGTCCACATTCAATCCTGGGCCACCCGCTGAGGCCACACTGCTCCCGTCAGCACCCTGCTATGCTGACTCTGAAGAGATGTACTTTCTCCTCTGAGTACATGTGCAAAACTTCCGAGGTGGAAGAATCATCCACAGGAGACTCAAGTCAGGTACTCGAGCATCGTTCAGACCCTCGAGGCTCTGGCATTTGAGGTGAGTCAGGTAGAGGCCATGGAGCCAGGAGGGGCAGAGTGTGTCAGGCTTCTTGCACCAGCTGAGGAAATAGCCTTTCTGCTGAACGCCAGTCCCCTGGTCCCTGGTGAGGCGCGTGTGACAGTCACTCGGTGCCCGCTCTGACTTCATCGCTGTTGGACACCACAGGGAGAGGAAATCAATTTTCCGTGATATGTATTTTACGGCCATTCTTCTTACCTCTCTTGGCTTTTTAGAGAACGAAGAACAATTAACTCAGTATTTATATTCTAAAATGGAATGGCATGAACACGTGTGCCGTCTGAGTGAGAGAAGGCACATATTTTCTCGTGCGATGAACTGCACCTTCCACAGCACATCCACTGGGAACCAGAACACAGACTGGGCTTTACAGGTGTCGCCACGGCAGTGGGAAAGCCGGCACTTGCATTTGTTCATGAGGATTTTAACCTTGGGAACAGGAAGCTCCGCACAATAAGAGTATACGTAGATCTTTGGATCGGAGCGTTTTATAATTTGGGTTAAAATTTCTTTTAGTCTTTACAGTAGTCTTAGTTTTAACAGCATAGTTATTTTAACATTTTAATGAAAATATTTTGTTTCGCTACTTTGCATAAAGGTTTATGTGAGAAAATGCAGATGTTTAAAAATAGAAAATAATAGCCTCTGTTCCTAATAAACAAGAGAAATTGTTGATTCTTTAATTGTGTGTATTTGAAGGCTTCTATTCACAAGCCTGATCGTCTGCTCAAATAAATCTGTTTTATCTCCAGGAAATACGTTAACATTTTGAAAGACTTTATAAGCGCAGCTTCTTATATTAAGATTTGTAGAAATCATACAACCTTGAGACATGGAAGCAGTTGTGATTTAATAAAGACTAGAACAACTAGAATTAGGTAAGAAATCTGAAAATTCACATTTTCTCTTTGCACTAGTCCATGGCCATGTGTACAGTACTTCGCAGGCATTTAAATCCCCAAATTCTATTATGTTCTGAGGGTACCATGACAACATGGACATATTTAAGGATGTGAGAGACTAAAAACAACATCATCAAGCTTCCAGTTTCCGATCATGGCAGCTATGGCATTCAGATCACCACACACACACACACACACACACACACACACACACACACACTGGTTTAAATGTTTTTGAAATCTCCTGAAAAGGGCTGAAGAGCTAAAATGACAGTGACAGCGGGGCGTTCCCAGGCCGATTTCTGGAGAAAGACCTGTAACCAGAGAGAGAAGTGGAGTTCTGGACACTAAAGCACTTATGCCTCAGACTGTCCCTGGTTATTGCTCACTTGAGCTTCTAGCAGAGGCTGCGCTATGGGGTGGGGAGGGCTGAAAAGGTCAGGGCTCCACGCCCATCCAGGGTGAAAATTATTAAGAAACTTCCTCACGTTAAGCTGGGATTTCAAAGCCGGGTTTTCACCGTCAGGCCAGAGTGAGTCTGAGGTTATCCCTCTTTCCCAACACTGGGGCCTTTTAGCCTCAGACCTGCCCTCAGCCCTCGGGAAGATCAGGAACTCACCGGGTGGCCCCAGGTACTCACAGCCTGAGTTGGCTAAGGAATCTCAAATTGTGAAAGGTGTAAGGTTGTCCTCAACTGGTAGCACCCAGAGACCTGACAGAGCAAACCCAAGCTTCCCAGGGGGCACGAGTGTCTGGGCCAGGCCTGGGTTATCCTTACAAATAACTTCACGAGGGCAAAGAAAGCAAGCGGCCGAAGATTAGCAGAACAGAAGGAAACACCGTTATATCATGAGATTCGGCAGAACCAACAGAAAGCAGAAAACATGTCTGCACTCCCTCAGACTTGGAAAGTGTCAGACATTCACAGGTACCAGGGGTTAGGACTTCAACATATCTTTTGGTGGGAGACACAATTCAACCTATAAATAACATAAATAACAAAATTGTAGAACTATAGTGTGTTACTTCCAAACTAGTAGAAGAGATGAATCGAAAAAGTATGAATACTGAAGATTAAAAATAATATAGATACCCAAATCTAACAGGAACAGTATGAGAAAGGAATATTATAGGTTAATCTTACCCATGAACACAGATTTTTAAAAATTCTAAACAGAATATTAACAAATTGAATTCAAAATATAAAAGGGTTGTATCTCATGAACAAGTAGGACTTAGCCTTTGATTTTGAGGTTGGTGTAAGACAATGAAAATCAAGTAATATAATTCATCACAATCGATTAAAAGAGAAAAATCACATTATTATCATCATGACAAAGAAAATAGCAGTTGATACAGATAATAAGAGTACCTATCTCATAGAGATATTGTGACAATAAATCTATATGAAGTACTTAAAACGGTGCTTGGCACATAGCAAACCCTCAATAAAATGTTATACAATACCACTATTTATAAACCTAAAAGAGATTTCAAAGATATACACAAAAGGCATCCAAATAATCAATATATTAGATAAAATCGTGCTCACCTTCATTAGGATTCAGGCAAATACAAAATAAAACCAGAATAAGACACCATTATACCTATCAATTAAGCAAATGTTAAAAAGTCTGACAATTCACATGTTGCCTAATACATATGGGAATTCACATAACTGCTAATATGCATAACCATTTTGGAAAACAGTCTGGCATCAGCTACAAAAATTTTTACCTTATAATCCAGAAATTCCACTCCTAGGTATACACTCTACAGAAATGCATGTTAAGCCAACCCAACATTCCAGGAGTAAATCCTACTTGGTCATAGTGTATGACCCTTTTTATAGGTTGTTAAATTCAACTTACTTCTATTTTGTCAAGGATTTTTGTATCTATGTTCACGAGGGAAATTAGTCTATAGTTTTCTTTTTTTTTGTGAGGTCTTTGTCTGGTTTTTGGTAACAGGATAATAGTGGCCTCATAAAATGAGTTTAGCAGTGTTTTTTCCTGTTCTATTTTTGGAAAAAGCTTGTGAAGAATTGATGTTATTTCTTCTTCAAATATTTAATAGAATTTACCAGTAAAAATTATCTGGTTCTGGACTTTTCTCTGTGGGAATATTTTTAATTGCTAATTCAATATCTGTACTTCTCTTTTAAAAAAACTTTTTAGGGTACATTTTGTTTATACGGGCATAATGACATGTGTTGAAGTCTTGAGCTCTCCAGGCAAGCTTTTCTTTCCATTTTCTAAAGTCGCGATAAAATATATATAACAGAAAATTTATCATCTTGACCATTTTTAAGTGTACATAGTTCAGTAGTGTTAAGTATATTCTCAGTATATTAACTGTGAATACACTTAACCAATCTCCAGAACACTTTTCATCTTGTAAAATTTAAACTTTATATCCATTAAACAACAGTTTGTGGTATGCTTTTAGTCAATTTCCAGAGCACTATAATGGTTGTTTTTGAAGTTCTGACCAACTTAATACTTGTTTTTTAAGGACAAGATTTGTCAACTCCCTCACTCCAACGTGCCAGCAGCTACAAGTCTAAACACATGACTTTGAGGGAAATAATCAAGGTGCAGAAGAGTCATACAGTATCATTCCATTTACATCTCCTTCTCAGCTCAGGGGAGACTAAACCACCTGGTCTAGGCATGAGTGTATAGGTGGGAACACAGGAAGTAAAGCGAGTGACTGTTGCCTAAGTGAGAATAGTAGTCACCTCCTGGAGGAGGAAGGAAGTGTAGAGGGACACGGGCACATGGAGTACAGGGATGGTCTCCAGGATGACGATGCTACTCTATCTCTCGACTTAGATGGTGGTGAACAAACTTTCATTTTATAACCATATATATACAACGATTGTTTCACAGGTACATACGTATGTCAAAACTTATCAAATACTGCACTTTAAATATGTACAGCTTCTTACATATAAATTATACCTTAATAAAGCTTTTAAAAATGGTTCAAGATTTTAAAAATCTGTATGTCGCAGCCTTTTTGGCAACCCTATGTTAACTCTACCGTCAGTACAAATACCTTCTCAAGAGCTACTTGAGGAATCAACACGGCGCACGGCCCACAGCCCTGTCTTAGAAAGGTTAGTGAACACACATTTTCCGGTCATCCTTCCTACCTTGAAGAACAGCTTCCAGTTTCCCCTGGTGGGGAATTCTCTCTCACCTATTGTGGCAGCCTTGACTGCACAATAAACCTGGACGCAGGGTGGTTGCAACGTGACTTAGAATGAGACAAATGGACTCCCTCCCTGGGAACTCTCTTCTCTGCAAGGGGTAGGAGGGTGGAGCTGGGGAGACCACGCAAAGCTGATGCCCCCTAGTGGTTGTTCCCCGTGGCTGCTTTATCATTTCTGTGTAGAAGGGATGGATGGGGCTGGCAATCTAGTGGAGGATAAGATTTGGGGGACAACTTTAAACTACTTTTACCAGCGTTTTGAAAAAAGGTAAGAAATCTCAACTGCCCAGACTAATAATTAGGGTTTGGGGGCAATTTAATGCTCCTCCAAGCATCCCCTTGAAGTCACCACCGGATAACTCCTAAAGACATTGCCAATTAGCACCTGGTACCTAGAGCCCCAGAGTCAATATGGTTGGTTTCTGACCCTGCAGACCCCAGTTCTTTGGCAGTTTTTTTTAATTCCATGAGCCACTCTTTATTAACAAAATAAATACCCCTTTTGGTTTAGCTTGCCCAGAGTTGGTTCCTATTACTTGCATCACAGAAGGCTGATACATTGGGGACCCGAGCAGCAAATGGGATGACAGATCTTTAAAGCCTCTTTCGATGCTGTAGTCCTAAGATAAGCACAAATATAATTAGGTCTCTCTCATCAGAATCAATAGTTACAGATGTGCTGGGAAGACAATACTTGGTTCAGTATCTCAAATAGACATGTTGGCTCTAGACACTTTAAAACAATGAAATAAAGTATAATTTGCAGCCCTGGGTGTATACTGGGAATATAGTTCCAGAAGTGGACTCAAAGGACACTTACTGGAGATATTCAGCTAACCTTGGAAGGAGGCTCTGCTAGAATACCAGCATCCATTAAGACTGATGTCAACGCATAATGAAACAGTTGACTGCATGTCGGGGCCATAAACATAAAGTAAACATAAAGAGGATAATGAAATCATAAACATTAATCAGCACTGGGAACAAACGGGGCCAGAGGAAACCTGAAGAATCCTTTAGCCGATCTCAAGTCTCTCACCAGAAAACAGTCATGCTTCATATTTGATTTTCATTAGCGTATTTAGTGTACCTCATGAAATCTTATAATATCTGTTCACTCTGGTTTGCATCTTAGCATGCTTACAGTGATGAAATCTGAGAAAACAAAAAACAAAACAAAAAATAGGGGTTTTTACTCTGAATTGGGATGGGTGCGTGGTAAGAGCATAGTTCTACAGAACGTGGTATAGAAAAAAAGTTTCCATTGATTCATAATATTTTTATGCAAATCTCTTCTGAAATATCTCTAGTTTTTTTTGCAGATAGGAACATGGTCCCATGCCCGATAGAAAGCATTCTGTTTTGTTGAATGGTGAAACTGACCTCTCGGCTCTTCGGCTTCTAATGGCTAATTAAATCCACTGTGCCAAGAAAATAAAATTATAAAAAAATAACTATGATGCAGAAAATAATTGGTGTATTGATGTATTTCCTGATTCCCTTACCTAAACGGTTACACAGGCGTTAAGAAAACAAAATGTATTTGATGGAAATTCTTGGCCTTCTCCTTTTTAAATTATTCAGTAACGTTGGGTAGTTACCAAATCGTCTCAGCGCTTATAAAACTCCCTATGCTAATTGTGGCCAGCAATTAATAATTATAACAGATTACACAAAGCAGGAAAAAAGCTACCCTAATGTTAAGGAGGAAAGCTTGCAATTAGGTGGCGCAGCCTTAGCCGTCTTCACTCTGAATCTCTGTGAAGAATGAAGAAAAGAACCTCGGCACCAAAATTGAAGGGGACCAGTTTTCTGATTGTGTCCTAGGGGATTTGGATAAAGCTCAAGCAATTTGAAGCATCCCCTCAGGTTGTACTCAGCAGAATTCCTGACCTCTGACACATCCTATCTATCACAAGCCTTTATCAGGAGAAGATGCCAAATCACAAGCCATTTGGTGGCATATAATTGCTTCGACATTGACAGCACAAGGATATATATCATCTCCTCTGTTTAAAAGGGAGTGAGCATTTTAAATGGAAGAAGACTGACTAAAAGCAAATTTAAATAGAAACTAGAGGGAGTTAAACCGATACTACACTGAAAGGAATATCAAAAATAAAATAAAAGCTTAAATATAGGTTGAAGAAAAAGATTAATAATGTATGATTTATAATCATCCTCTTTCTGGTTTATTAGAAATATTGAAGAATTGAGAGTTAAAAGAAAGAAAAAAAAATGAAAGAACAAAAAAAAAGGAAAGGAAGAAAGGGAGAGAAGGAGGGAGGAAATAATACAATTTAGAACAGCTTTAAAAGCACGGTTTCAGATGGCATATGAAGTATTGTGTTTGGTTTCATGGATACAGAATTAATACTGATCTGCAAAGACAGAAAGTTCTGTTCTTGAGGAAAGGCTCAAGGTTAGTCTGTCTTCAACTTCTCTTTAACACCTCTCTTTAAAAAGGAAAAAAAAAAGAGCAGGTCATAGGCTCTGAGCCTTTGGCAGACAATAGCATTGAGCTCAAATTTAATTATATTATGTCGTCTTTATTATATTTATTTTTGTGCTTACCTTCTATTTATGGTAAGTGAAGTGGTTTCCATTTGTGATCAGCCTATAAATTTTTTCTTTATTTACATTTTTAAAAACTGAGTCGACTTAAAGATAAACATTAGCTAAATTAGAGTATTGGGTAAAAAAATAAATAAAAAAACAATAATGATTCCAACATGGTTAGACAAAACCTTATAAAAAGCACTGAAACGATGTTAGTTAAGAAAATATCAACTTAAAATCATAGACTGAAGGAAACTAGGAGCAGACGATCCGGATCTCCTCATTTTACACATGAAGAGACCAAGGTCCAGAGAGAGGGCAGAAATTACAGGATTTGCCATTACACTTTTTAAAGGCAGAGAAAGGTGTAAATCTAAGTCGCCTGCCTCTTCCTCCATTGCTTTTACCATTATTTAACTTGTAGCCTTCTCAAAAGCTATATGTGTTGGGCTTGGCTAAATGTGTCTCGTCTGCAAAGGTGTCGAAGTCAAGAGGCAGGCCGCAAAGAAATTGATATTCTTTACCAAAACATGGAAAACTTGTGCAACTTGCAAGACCACAGTGACATCTAGTGGTGCCCTTTGACAATGCAACTTTTTATGCAACCCTTAATTTGAGCAAGTCAATTAAAAAGCAAAGCTTATTTTGTTCAATATCTCTCGTTGGAGATTGTCTGTTTTTAACAGGAGTACCACCTAAGTAAAGTTGTGCCCTTCCTTAGTGTATCATAGAGAGAAGCAGATGATGATGGTTTGTCCCATTATTGGTGATGGGACAGATTTGGTTAACACGGTGTCTGCCAGGGCTACCCACTGTGAGGTTACTGTCCTTTCCTTTCTAGTTAACATCTGATTTGTGGAGCAATATTTTGAAGTTAAATATATTTTTCCTCTTCAAACTTTCATTTGCTATTTTTACTATCCATTGATAATTCTTGCTTGAATCAATTATTACTATAATGGTTGCAAAATGGTAATTCTCTAATTCTGTCATTCCCTTCTCTATTACTTATTATTTTACTTATTTGTTTGTTTTTATTAATATGGATTTATGAATTCTTACATTATCTATAATATACTATACACAATCTAAATTATACTATCCATAATCCATAATCTATTGCTATTTGTTTCTCTTCAAAAATATAAATGTCATGAAAGTCAGAAAAAAGTATGAGGAATTGTTTCAGATTAAGGAGACTGAAGAGATCTAACAACTCAGTGTTATGAGTAACCCTGAATTCAGTTCTGCATGTGTGTGGGTAGAAAGAGTTGTAGACGGCTACAAAAGGACATTATTGGGATAATTGATGAAATTCGAATAATCTTGTGAATTAGATATTGTGGATTAAATAACAATACTGTACCAGTGTAAATTTTCTGTTTTGGTCATTTTACTGTGATTCTGTAAGAAAATGTCCTTGTCTTAGAAAATATACACTAAAACACGTAGGGGTAAAGTGGCATCATGTGTGCAGCTTATTCTCAAGTGGCTCAAAAACTCTGTGTGTGTGTATGTGTGTGTGTGTGTAAAGATAAAATGATAAGCAAATGTGGCAAAAGGTTAACAACTGGTGAATCTGGGTGAAGAGTACACAGGGGTTCTTTGTACTATTCTAGCAACTTTTCTGTAAATTTGAAATTATGTCAAAACAAAAATGACCAAAAAAAGGAAAATAAAGTTTCAAGGAAGTTTTAAAAGCGCTATTTATTTTTTAAAAAAAAAAAGAAAATAGGCAAGTAAACTTACACCTACAGGCTTGAGACTTTCCAAGTCTCAACTAAGTTTTTTTTTACTGCTATACACAGTTTGAGATAAAGTCTCCCCCGACCCCACCCACGCACACACTCTTTTCATCAGGAAATTATCATGCTAGGCAAAGAAATCTATTATAAATTACTAGTTTAAATTCCCCAAATGTCTGAAGAATTCCTGAAAGGCACACATTTTTATAAAAGCTCACACATTTAATATCACATACAAAGACTGTTATCCAGCTTGGGCTCTGGCACTGAACCCAACCAACCAGCTGTGATTACCCTTAATTTGGAATAGAAGATGTTGGCTATGAAAAAAAAAATGCCCCGAAATATCAATCTCTTAATCTTATAAGGAACAAAAAATGAAATCTTGGTGAGACTGTAGCCAGAGACACTTACTAAATGTGGGTGAAGTCGATGAGGGCATTGCATAGAAAGAAAAATAAAATAAAAAACAATCTCAGGTTTTAGAACTAAACAGCCATGGATAAGAATCACAGTTCTACCTGTATGGTCTGTGAGGTTAATTTATTTAACCCCTATGAACCTTAGTGTCCTCGCTTGCAGAATCAGGCCTCTTTTGAGTGGGTATTCTACATCTGGCACTGTAAGTGATGGCTGTACTCTAGGTCCTGAGTCAGGCATGGTGGATAGTGGATAATGGATAATGTGCACCTGTTGGGGCATCCTCATTTCTTACCTGAACTGCCACTGTCTCTTATCAGGTCTCTAGCATCCACTCTTGTTCTCCTTGCAATCCATTTCCCACACAGCACAGCAGCAGCACCAGCTTCCTAAAAGACAAATCTGCAGCTCAAAGTCCAAACTTCCTAATGTGGTACGCCAGCCCCTGGTGACCTCATGGCCTCATCCCGAGCATCTCTCTAACTCTCTCACGATGTCCCTTCCCCACGCTCTCCCCTCTATCTTCTCCACTCTCTGAGCTCTTCTGCTGTCCCCGAGGCTGTGCAATTACAAACATGCTCAACATCTTCAAGGTCCGGTGTGGCGGTGAATAGCCATACGTGGCGACTAAGCGCTTGAAATGTACCTAATATGACTGAAAAACTGAATTTTTAATTTTTGAAATTTTACTTAAATTTAAATAGCCATATGTGGCTAGTGAACAGAGCAGGCACATAAAACTTCTTTAGGTTCCCAAAGTGCTATGTCCTCTGTTTTCTCTGGGTCTTTACCCTTGCTGTTCACTCTCAGCCGAAGACATTCTCTTCATCTATTATGTCTCAGCCTCCATATCCCTTATTATATGCTTTCACAGGGTATGATTATATAAACTCTGCCACTGATAAACTCTCAAACAAACAAACAAAAACTTTCATTGTGCAAGTAAGGCTCTGTGTCAGAGCAATAACACCTTAGAGGTGTTTTTCTCTCTGCCCTTGACTATACATTAATCCAATGGGTGGAGGGCAACGACAGTTGGTCACAGGCCACAATTCATCCCATTAATGTGTTTTGTTTGGCTTTTACAACATGTAAAAAATGGAGCCAACATATTAAATGGAAGAGATTTCATCTCCCAAAAATATATATATATGGATTCCTGGATCCTCTGGAAAATCTGGCCACATTGGACCCATATTCACTTCTGCTCAGTAATCATCAGCTAGGCTCATTCCAGTACCGTAGTCACTAGCCACATGTGGCTACTTAAATTTAAATTAATAAAAATTAAATAAAATTAAAAATTCAGTTCCTCAGTTTCACTAGCCACACTTCAAGTGCTCAATATCCACAGGTCGTGGCTACCAGGGCAGATGGAGAGCACCCCCAGCATCACAGGTGCTCTGTAAAGGTACATTCTTTAGAGGGGAACTGGGGAGGGATGCCTCCTGCAGGAGGAGTGAGTGCTTGTTAGGTCTGAGGCCCCCCGGCTGGCCCACTTCAGCCCTTGACATGACCTGCCTGCCCTCTCCACGCCCCCGTAGGCATTTGAATTTGAGAATCTGGTCTATCATATACTTTTGGGTTTTCTACTTAATTTTTTCAATTTTTTGGAAAACACCACTAAGCTAAGGTATAAAAGGAGTTAAGAGCCAGAAGTGATCTGAAAATGAATATGAAAGTAGGGGTAATAAACCTGTAAAGTGGTGTGTGTGTGTGATCAGTGCTTTCTTGGTGGGAACTGTTCAAGCAGGAAGCAACTCATGGCTGAAAAGTACTGTGCATATGTAAGAACTACTCAGCAAAAAGGTAAGCAAATGCAATTGTCAAAATGGAATTTCTGAGTACGTGATCTGCAGGGGTCATAGGTAACATAGATGATGGGATCTGGGTGGGACCTGATGAACTAAGGGGCCAGTTTAAGGGACAGGAGCCCCTAAGCTCCTGTGGAATATTACAGTGGGAATGGACTTAGATCTCTGATTTTTTTCCAGGCAACTCAGGAATTCAGATATTTTATGCACAATCTCCCAATTTTAGCACGATTTTTGAAGAAACACTCTTCAAGCAAAACAAAAAGTTTTACCAGATTCAGGCCCCAGGGGCCCGTTTGCCAAGTCTGAGCCTATAGGTTGGCAGCACAGCAAAGATTAACTCGCCTAATGCTGATTCAAGAGAAGATCCGGTATTGAGAATACCAAGGTTCGGGGCAGGCGGAACCAGGCTGCAAACCAGGAACACAGGCTGCAAAGGTCCCAGGCCCATCAGATCTACCTGCAGAGTATCCAAGTGACAGAGCAGCAGAGAGCTGGTCTTTGGAGGAAAAAAAATATGCCTTACAGAAAGCACTAAGAATATTTCAAACTTAAATATTGAATGTTTTCTCGTATTTGGTGGGAAATGAATCCAGGGGCAACAAGTCTAAACTTCTCCTTAGTCACTTTGGACTTATGAACAATAGATTTCACAAACAGCCATGGGCAAATAGAGAAGCTGGGCTCCCGCTCAAGGAACTCATCACGCTCTTAGTGTTCTTATTTAATTGTGCATCTTCCAAATGCACCGTGAAAGCTCCATGAGGGGAGGGACTGTGCCCAGCGTTGAGCCCACGTCTGGTGCCTAGAGTTACTTACAAACATGGGTTGACTGGATGCCATGGGGACATAGGGAAGTCAAGCTAATTGGAGACAGTGAGGAGGTAGGGTTTGGGGGTTTGACAGAAATCATCTATGGTGGCTACAGAACGAATGAAACCTGCAAAGTACCCAGGACACAGACATCTACAGGAAGTAGTCCCTAAGATATCTTTCCTGTCAACGCTACTGATTTTAAGTATAAGAATGACAAATTCTGAAACACATTTGTCTGTGAATAGGCACACGCTATAATGTAATGACTGAAGTAGACTCTGAAGCCAAACTTCCTGGGTTCAAATACTTACCACTTTGGATTTTGAGCAAATTGTTGAACTCCTCTATGCCTCAGTTTCCTCATCTGGAAAATGGGGATGATAATATCTACATGAAGAGGTGAGTGTAAGAACTTATTTTTTGTAAAGGGATTAAAAGAGCACACGGCACAAGGTAAGTGTTAGCTATTATTTTTTTTTTAGAGAATATCAAAGAAAAAAAAAGATGTAATGCTACTTTTAGATCTACGTATCAGATATATAAAACACAAGAACCATGGGCTCAGTTAACATAGGGTTCAAAGGGCCTTGGGGGAAGGGAGGCAGTTCCCTAGTTCTGATGGTTTCTCTTTAAATACATGGTGGTAGTCACCGGGACAGGGCGATTTTGGTAAGAATGATTATGCACACACTGACCCCTTACCCTCTGCGTCAGGGGTGGTTGGTGGGAGACCCTCAAAGTCCACATCCTACAGTGACGTGTTATTAATTGTACCTTCACCTTAGATTCTAAATGTATCACACGAATAGCTCTCCGAAGGCTGATTTATTTCTAAAACTCTATGGTTTTTTAGTTCTGTATGCTCGTGGGAAAAAACCTGACAATGTTTTACCTTGAAACAGAAATAGTTTCAGACATTTCTGGGTGGTTAATCAACCAGAATGGCTGGTAGACTAGACCGGGTCTCACGCGTGCACCTGGCACCAACGCGCCCGCCAGGCTCTGCTGCTTCACTGCGGAAACCCTGCAAGCTGTTGGATCTGCTGGGCTCCTTAACCACAGATGTTCCTCAGAGGCAAACGTCTTCACGTGTGTTTCTTCTCTAAGAAGCTTCTTCCATAAAAGCAGTAGTTTCCGAAACAAAACTGCAGGAATATTTGCTCTGGGGCAAATGTTCTCACATTTCCATTAGATCGGAATCATCTGCAAAATTTGTAAAAAGATAACGGAGGCTCAGTCTCTATCCCAGACACACCCACCCAGAATCTGTGGGGTTGGGCCCGGGTGTCTGTGCTTTTCACAAGCTTCCCAGCTGCTTCCAATGCCCATCAAAGATGGAGAAACACTGGCCTGTTAACATAACAATCTGGCGATATCGTGAGTGTCAAATTCAAACATAGACCCAATTGAAAATAGAGTCAAATAAAACACTAAGTCACTTAAAAAAAAAAAGAAAAACTGAACTAGCATAATTACAGGAAAATGAAAATATACAGATCTTACAGTTCACAAATGGACATCAGATTTATTCGCATTGCTTCTGGTTCTCTTCTATTTTCTACTTTGACCAATACAGAATATTTATACTTTATAATTTCATTAAATGAGAAGCCAAACTTGCCCAGTAATCACAGTATCTCTTATGGAAACAGAGGAGTTTGATGACAATCTAATTTTCAAGAGCAGGTCATGGTGGAGTCGGGGATCAGGGGTGAATTACAAAGCCCACTCACCCCACCTCAGCTCCTGCTGTTGCCAAGCAAGAATGAATAACCTCATGGAGCCAGCTCTTCCAACTTTCTAAGAGAAACTGGAAAATTCAGTTTGTATGTATAGGCTTACAACTTTTAAATGGGTAGCAGCTAATTAAAAATGTTTTTGATAACATCATTTTAAGGTGCACCATTGAGGCCCAACCATAAAACAAAGCAAAATTCATCAGCCCAGATTTCACCTGCATGCCCCAAGTTTGTAACCTCTGTTCCAGAAGTTCTGAGTTCTGTATCTGAATTGTTAGACAATCAAAAACCATTTGATGACTTCATCCAGTTGGCATTAACGTTAGTTATGCTGTCTCTAGAACTAACAAAATTCTCTGCCATTTTTGAACCAGAGCGTTTATACGAGGAGCCATATACTAAGCTCATTTTTTCACTCAGTAGATACTTTGCTCCTGCCCTGTACCAGGCCCTGGGAACACAGTGGTAAACCGAGCCTTGACCAAGTTTAATATTTGCATGGCATGTAAAAATATTCACGAGGCTCATCGCCTAGTCGGTGGTCAAGATTAATACAGACGGACAAAATCTTAAGAACAGAATAATACCTCAGAGATCACTTTTTCAGATGAAGCTGAAGCCCAGAAAAACAAAGGCTGGCTGAGGATCACACAGCTTGAAAGGGAGTAAAAGTTATAGTCAAGTCCCCCTCGCCCCTCCCGCTGCCGATTTCAAACCGAAATCCAAGGGGACTGATAAAAGATCGTCAAGGGAAACTAGCAGGCCTGATGCCAGAGACACGACTTCAGTTTAGCAAGAAACCATTTGAAAAGCAACAGGATATTCCATTTAGAATTGGCTGAGAATTTCGTCTACATTCATGGAGACTATTATTTCCAGGAAGTCAGAAGCTATACTATCTTACCTCAGAACATGTAAAACAATAGATAAGCAAGGAGTTGCTTTTTTATCTATTAAGAATAAACAGAAAGAAAATTTAAGGGGCAAATTGCCAACATTGATAAAAAATAGATCAGGAAAAGAACATCAACATCAGTATTGGTAAGAGCAAAGGTGTGGTTAACAGCAGGGTTTGCGTAGTCTTCCTTACGAATCTCCTACCTTGGCTCAACCTTGTCCACGCATTGCAACTGAATGTTGAATCCACTGGGGGAAAGAAAGGAAGTATTTTTCAGAACGACCGCAAGAATGACTAGTTCCCTAAATGGCTCCTAGCATTGTCGATTATTTTCTAAGCAAGTACTACCTCTAAGATGTATCCCTAGTTTTAAGTGTTATAGTATCCGCTATCTTAAAAAGGTAAGAGAAATAGGGGTGCCATAATGACCAATTATCAAACTGTTCGGAATGTATTTGAATTTCAGAAGCTGAATGACAGGCAGTCGACTTTAAAAAGAGAAGCAGAAGTGACTCTGGGTGGCTGAGTGTGCTTGTTGGTAGGGATTTCTGCTGTCACTGAATATAAAAGTAACTTGAAAAGACTAATTCCAAAAGCGAGATTATGGGTGATTTTTATTCTTTTCAAATACTTCACTTCTCAAATAATAAGCAGTGTTTAAAAAACATGAGGAAAAGTCTTTTTAACAATCATATAGCATTTAAAAAACAATCAAAACCTTATAATTCCTACTTTCAACTTGACATGATTCTAAATTTTTTCTTCTAGAACCTATTTATCTCTGTTTTTATGAAAGACAAGAGTGGAAGCAACTAGAGTGTAAAACTTATTTTTTAAAGGTGTTTCCCCACACCCCCCCCCAAAAATTGGCACATAACTTATTAATACTTTAACTTCTGTAAGGCTCTTGTCCCATTACCACGGCCATAGAAAAATTCCTCCCTTTTAAACTTGGAAACTACAAAATTCTTCCTTCTCTGTTAACTAATTATATTCACAATTTGACAGAATGTCACTCTTTTGGGAAAGCAGTGTTTTGACGTAAAATGCTCATGGAAACATGGCATACTACAGAGAAAACACAGAGGCCCTAATAAGGGGCCCCAAGAAGCCTCACGTTCAGTTCAATGTCTGAAAATTGACCTCAAGAGACGTGCTGTGCACATAGCCTGATTTAGGTCACTAGAACAAGTTTTAAAAAATGAAAACACCAACTGCAAATACGTTAACTAGTGTGAGGGTTTAGAGTGTTTAGTACTAACTTTGACATGAAAGTTTATAAGATGATTAAAAGTTTTTTTAAGAGAAAAGTGATCGTGGGTGAAAATACATACACACCAAAAAATAGTAGAAATCATTAAGTGGACAGGAAAAGTGGCCTAAAAAGGGCCCATAAGGGATGTAATACCGTGTCACTTAATTTGATCAAGTATAACAAGAGGGAAAATCTAATCTGATTTTGTTTCCTCTTCAGAAGCACAAACTAGGTGGTTAAACTTAATGTTTTCTTAGGCCTAAAGTCTGGCAGTGAGTTGGAAACCATTACAAAGATGGCTGAAAAACAAAAAATTTGAAAGACAAATGGCATTAGACAATGCTACTCTCCCAACATATTAGAACAAGGAACAAATTAAGTCAGAGGTTCTCAACTGGTATATTTTGAACCACTCACAGTTTTGCTCCTAAATTGTGATTAATGTGTAACTAAAATTAAGTGTTGCTTCGACTGAAGCATGGTAGCCATCAGCACTGCCAACATGTCTTCTTTCCTGGCCACAGAAGGAACACTGAATTTCCATATCCTCCTGCGCTGGTGGGGCCACAGGGTGATGAGCAGAAGGGACAGACATCCAGCGCTGGAAGGAGCATGGCATTGCTGATGTGCGGCCCTTGGAGCCCTATCTCCTTGTCATGACCACCGGAGAGGTTCAAGACAGTGGCTGTTCCGTCAGCCTAGATCCCTGAGAGTCTGCACCAAAAAAGAGCACCACCGCCTACGTGCAGACACACAAGCAATGTGTGAGACATAAACCTTTGTAGTTACTGTAACGTAAGGCAGCTCCCTGACTGAAACAAAGGATACACACTGACAGAGTTATTTGTCCACCAGGCGGCTGAGCTGAGAGGCTCCTGTGACTTGGTAAGTAGAAGCTGGGATCTCCGTGCTATTAGGAGGTAAAAAAGTGTATTATTATTATGTGAAACTTGATGCCAAAGAAAACTCTACTTTTATTAAAACATCTGAGTACTTTTCCTTAGATCTTCTATGAGAATCCTCTGGTCAGACGTATGTATAAACAATACTAAATGTTGGCTAAGTTCACCATGCATAAATGATTTCAACTCTGCAATTTTATGCCTTTAAACAAAAAAAAAATTTAATATTTAAAATGTACTTTTTACACAAAGGCTGAAAAATCTTGTTTTAAATCAGAGATCGCCGCTAGGTCTTTGTGCAGCCTGACTACCACTAGAGGGAGCCATCTACTCCATTTTCTGCCTAACCTGACTCACCAAAAGGATGGCTGGAAACATCCAGCTCCACCTGGGGAGATAAATCTAGTCTTGCCACTTCTTTACTAAATGTAAAATTGTGTTGGTGTCAGACTAGTTGGGTAAAATCACCCAGGAAGCTCTGAAATGCACGTTCTCAGGCATCTCTAAAAGC